GGGTCTCCTCACCAAAAACAAAACAAAACAAAACAAAAATACTTATTGACTGACTGTTCTGAAATTGAATGAGGATAAACAGGATTGCACACGCTTTTGGGGTGAGTGGGTAATGAAGGTTTAGAGGCAACAAGTATAAACTGTCCTTTTTAGAGGGTTAGTGGTATTGACCTTTTACGCCTTCGGATGGAGACATAATATTACTGCCAGGTAATTTTATGAACTTGTATCGAGGGCTGAGATATGGAATGACTAGAATTAACTTTTCTTGCCATGAGTCATTTAAAACTTTTGCTACCCCCTATTTTTCTTTCAAGATATGGAAAATGACTGATAAGGAACATTTATACAAATGCACCCCTGAAAAGGTCTGAATTTAATCAGTTGAGTTGGGCAGCTAGGAAGTTCTAAGCTACTGCAGTTCTCATTCAGAAAGGAAGGCAATGTGGTCTTGTGGTTAAGATGAGACAGTTTTTAAGCACAAAGTCTCACTTGGTGTAACACGATGAAGTACCATTACGGTGACTACATTTTTTTTGGGGGGGGGTAGGAACAGGGGGAGGATGGCTTTGGAAGGAAAGAGACTGCTAGTGGTTCTACTACTTGGTCAGTCAATAGACATTTGTTAAGTTCCTACTATGTGCTGGGCACTGTGCTAAGCACTGGGGATACAGAGACAAAGATAATCCCTGTCCTCAAAGAACTTACAGTCTAATGAAGAGACAGGATGCCAACAACTATATACAAACAAGCTCTATACAGGATAAAGTGAAAATAATCAACAGAGGAAAGGCATTAGAATTAAGAGGGATTGGGAAAGGCTTCTTGTAGAAGGTGGGATTTTATTCGAGACTTGAAGGAAGCTAGGAAAGCCAGAAGAGGGCAATGAGAAGGAAGAGCATTCCAGATACGAGGGATGGCCAGTGAATGCCCAGAGATGGGGTGTCTGGTTTAAAGAAAAGCAATGAAGACAGTGCCACTGGATCTGAGAATGTGGGGGAGGAGTGGGTGTAAGAAGACTGGAAAGGTGGGGGTGGGGGGAAGTTATGAAGGATTTTGAATGAGAGGATTTTATCATTTAATCCTGGAGGTGATAGGGAGCCACTAGAGAGGGTGTGTGTGTGTTGCATAGTTTATTAAGGTAGTAGCAAGAATAGCACTCTAGATCCCAGGGCTTTCCAAAGGTAAGCAGTAACAGAGTCGATTTAACTTTTAAAATCTGAGCCTATATTGACCATTCTTAAAACTTGGTATGGATGGATGGTCTCTTTTCTGGTAGACCTGAGCCTTCCAGGACAACTCAGTGATATGGTCATGGTGTCTCATGCTTAGTGTTTGCCGTCTTTCAGAAACAAGGACTTTGGTAGACATTAGCTCCCTAATCCTAAGAACTCTAAGGATATAGAAGGCTCATAATCTGCCCATTTTGGAGATGATGCAAATTGAGGCACAGAGGGTTTGTCAGCGACTTATTTGCCATCATCGAGGTAAAAGGAGTACTGCAAACCAGGGGACACAAAAAACAAAACAGGAGAAGAAACCTGAGCCACCAGGATAATGTTCTGTCCATTCCTCTAATAGGTGGTTTGGTTTTTTTTTTTCATTTCTATATAGATGTATAAAATATGCCCCCCCCACACACTTTATCACCTAGCTCTTACCAAATCCTTTCTGGTTATGAAGCAGTGAACTTTTCAGCCCACAGGCCTCAGCTTAGGGGACTTAAGTGAGTGCAATGAGCACGTTGCCTTAGAGATGGAGCCAGCGCACCTTCCTGTCACAAAGCCGAAGGCCTTCCCATTAAGGCAAACATGCATTTCTCTTTTCACAGGCTCAGTTTTCTCCATTTCTCTACTACCTTCAAAATCAAGAGCTGCCTAATGGTGCTGTCAAGGAGGTTCCTGCCGCTCCTTCTCCTGTGGCCGACAGCCCTGCTCCCGCTGAGGAAGTGGACACTTACAAGCCGAAGCTGTGCCGACTGGTCAAGGGCCAGCAGGGCTATGGCTTCCACTTAAATGCAATTCGGGATAAGCCTGGTTCCTTCATCAAAGAGGTGAGATCACCTAGCTCAAATACACCAGAATACTAGGTGGCAGAGAAACCATAATTAAGCTTCTGATCACCACCATGGCCTATCAAATAGCTGTCAATGTGGTCCCAAGCCCATGGGTTTTCCTGGGAAAATGGAGATCTAATCCTCATTTCTTAGATGACTTCCTGCCCAATGCTCTCCAAATAAACATTTTCAAAATGCAGTCCAGTGAATGTCTTCTAGGTGGTTAGCATGGCCCTTTCTGACCATGTGGAGGCACACTACCAACTGGGATTGGGACTGACACTTGTTCTCCTAGTGTCTACTCCACATTTACAACCGTGTCTAGAAGGGGTTCCCTCCCTGTCCTGTTATGCCAGAAGAACAATGTGAGAATCCAGAGTTATAGGTGGGGATCTCTCTCTTTATCTCTGAAGAGATGGGTGTAGGAATCCCATGATGCCACACCAAAGGTCACATAGTATAGCATAGCATAGTATAGTATAGGATGCAACTGTTTCTTTTACTATTGGTGTGAGGCACAGCTTTTATGGGTGGAATACTGAAAGCTGAGAAAAATGTGCTAAAGTGAATTAACAGCAGGGCTAAAAATAAACTGTCAATTTCCCACCTTCACTATTTGTCCTAAGGAAGGAGGCAAGTGTGACATATCTTTTTGCACTACAGATATTGAAATCACTCGGCGCCTCTGTTCACAGGTACAGAAGGGCAGCCCTGCTGACCTAGCTGGTCTAGAAGATGAAGACTACATCATTGAAGTGAATGAGGTGAATGTGATGGATGAACTTTATGAGGATGTAGTGGACAAGATTCAGAACAGCGGAAAGAGTGTCCTTCTATTGGTCTGTGGAAAGAAGGCCTATGATTACTTTCAGGCTAAGAAAATACCCATTATTTCCTCCATGGCGGATCCATTGGAGGACTCCCCTGATTCTACCGAGGAGTCACCAGCCGAAGCAGAGAACGACTCGCCCGTCCCAAAAGAACGAGTAAGTGATCTTGACTTTTTGAAATCCATAGGGATTTCAGGTTCATTTCATAGGGATTTTCAGTTAATTAGGTGTGCCCTCAACCAGTAGTCACCAAAGAATATTTATAACCCATCAGGAAAATGAATCCTGTTATAGAATCAGAATGTGAGAGGAGGAAGGACTATCAGACCCTTGGGTTCAATTCTCTCATTTTGCAAATGAGGAGAGACCCAGAGAGGGGCTGTGATTGTCCAAAGTCATACACAAAGTGGCAGAGCCAGGACTCATATTGCTTCTTCCTCTCCATGACTTTTTTTTCCCCCTGGAATCTTCACAGGCAAGTTATTGAATCATAGAATTTTAGAGCTGGAAAATTACCTAGTCCAACTCTAATGTTTAGATGAGGAAACTGAAAACCAGAGAGGTGGAAGGCCTTACCCCAAGTCACATTGTGGGTCTGTGTTACAGCAGGGCCTGGAGGGGTTCTGAATCCTCATCTCAAGATCTTTCTAGAAGACTACACGGGCTCCGGATCACTGCTTTAGCAAAATTTCAAGTTCCTAACACAAAACTACTCCTTGGTCTTGTACCCTGGGCCTCTTAAGAAGAAAGCACTGATTTTCTTCAAAAATTTAGCCATAATGTTCCTAGTGGACATCAACTATTATTCCAGAGTTAATGCTCATGTCTTCTTGGAGAGAGAGGCCTGAAGTCAAATAGGAAGTCAGATGCAAAGCCAAGATCAGAGCTCAGGTGTCCTGCCTCTTTTTGCATTGAATCTTCTTATGGATTACCTTATGCTCCTTGGGATGGTTTTGGAAGATGATCACTGGGTTTTCCAGCTGCATTATTCATAAACAATTTTTTGTTCTTTTCTTCTGTGCAGGCTGATAGCATAAGTTCCCATTCTTCTGGCTCTGAAGACACCTTGTTATGATGACACCAGTCCTTGGCTTTGACTAGAATGTCTTGGAATTTGACAGGATTAATCCTCTCTTAAAGAACAAGCCGTTAACTGTTGTAAAGAAAGTAGCCCACAGGGACGGACTCCAGGTGAACCTGCACCAGAGAGAAGCCCCTGGTCTTTTCCTGTCACCCATCGTAGGGATGACTGCTGTAGACAGCCAGCTCGCTTGTGGCTGACTTAGAAAATGAGAACCCATGAGACATTTGCATTCCCACAATCTCTCTCTCTCTCTCTCTCAAGTGATTGTATGAGACAGAGAGGTGTAGTTAAGCCTCTCTGCACAGGCCTGTGCCCCTTGAGCACCAAAGATGATTCACAATTAGTAGGGGAGACAGTTGCTCATTAGATTTGTGAAATCTGACCAGATCAACCTTTCTTAGAAATAGTGTGCTATGTATTTGCGAGTGCGATGAAGAATAAACATCAGCAGTACTTGTGTGACATGAGTGTGTGGTGTTTTCCTTTTCAGCCCCTTCAGATGCCAGCTAAATATCTGGCTATGATAGCAAGCTACAGCCTAATCTCCTTTTTGAGCTAGATGGGATACAACAGTCGTGGCAGAGCTGGACCTAGACCACGTGTCCCCACACTTCCATTAATGCCCTTTCCCCATCCTATAGCTTCTTACAGCCTCATCCCCTTTTCTCTCCTCCAACCTCTCATTGATCATTCTTAATGAATACCCCATATTCAAATGATCTTATGGCTAAAAGGAAGACTTTAAAGAAGCTGTTTCTCTGGTGGAATTTCTTTCAGCCGACCCCCAGGGGATCAACACAGAAGGCATACCGATATATCAACATAAAACTGCTGTGCTAGGTCAAGGAAAAGTAACTTCCTAGCCAACAGCAGTTGCCCTTTGTGGTTATATTTTAAACGTAGGGGGTTTGTGTTCCACTTGTCAATTTGGGGCTCTGACTCCAGTGAGCAGTTTGTGCTCCCATGGCTTGTGGTCTTACCTGGGCAAAAGGTTCCCAAGTAGGACGTAAGAAGTAAATTGAAACCGATGTACCACAAAAACTTTCATTTTAATGACTACCAGTTTCCCTTTTTTGTTCTTGATGAAATTGGAATTTAAACAAAAAAAAAAATCACCCAAGAATAGTGACAATGCAATCCCTTCTGCCTTGGTTTTCCAATGTGTCTTTTCCTTTGATCTCAACTTGTTTAGATTTTTCTGGTGTGGGCACCATACTGCACACAGAAAATGTTCCATGGCCTGAAGGTTGGATCTGCTTGTCCTCTCTCCTGCCAATCCTGATAACACAAATGACCACTGTTTCCTTATGGGAGGAGGTATAGACATGCTGGAGGCAGTGTAAGCCACTATAGCATTTTTGTCATCTAAAAAACTCAACCCCTTCAGTTTCCCTCCTCTCTGACGTTCTTGGGCTTTCAGCAGTTTAAGACAGGCTTGAGTCTTCTCTGTTCATGGTGTCATGTGTTTCTCAGGAGCTTGCTTGTGCGCTAGGTAGAGGAACAGGATGCTGGAAAGAGCGCTGACCAGGAAGATCACATCAAACCAGCGATGGTAGAAGTTAAACTGCAGTTCTCCAAGGACTTCAGTGATGATGGTGCGGTACTCAAGGGGCATACTCATTCGGATGAGAAGCACTGACGAAACAAAATACATGCCCTGGAGATCAAAGAACAGAAGTCAGACCAGGAAGCACCTTGAAGAGAGCCTAGAGGGTGCTAAAGACATTGGTGAGTCTCAGTATTTCCAAATGAAGATGGCTCCTTCCACTTACCATGATCTGTGCTAACAGCAGGACGATAACATTGGAGGACTTGCTGCTGGAAATGGCATAAAAGAACTGTCCAAAAAAAAGGGGAGAGAGAGAAATGTGAAATGACTGTGGTGGCATAAGGAGATCCTTGTAGAATGAACACTGTGACCCCTCAAGGTGCATGGGCCCTTCACAGGACACCCACACCCTGTCTTTGTCATAGACCAGTAATGGAGCCCACAAGAGACAGTGAGAGGTGTGCAGGACCCCGGAGGGCTGCCAAAGAGCAGGGGAGAGTCCAGAGGGCTGGAGCGCAACTTTGTTATCATGGAAACACTTGAGAAGAGGCAGTGGTCAGTGGCCAACTTCACTGTTGAGCACCTTGTCAACATGGCTGTCTTCACAGCTGCTGGCCCAGATCAATGAGGGCAGCAAGGGAGCCACCAAACAAGTTCAGGGTCTCTGCTCCGCCTCTATCTCTGACAGAGTTAAACACTCAAAGGATGAGATGCCCTGGACTTTTCCCCTGAGTGAATCTCCTGCCTCAGAGCCTCGGTAGACGCGCCATCTCAGGCTAATCATCATCACTGAAACTCTCTCAGCCTTAGCTTTTTTCATTTGTAAAGTACTGACACCTGTCGTATCAATCTGACTGGGGAGGGAATAGGAATTGTGAGATTAAACAAAATAACACATCCAAACTACTTCCTCAACCTTAATGTTACCGCCTGTAAAACACCTCTAGTAGTGCCCCCTTCTCTCCTCTGCCACTGCCTGCAGCCTGGTGCAGGCCCTCATAACTTCCTGCCTGGATACCACAATGGCTGCTGGTGGGTCCGCCTGCCTTGGGTCCCTGCACTCCAGGCCATCCTCCGCGCACTTGTAAATTTAAATTCCTAGAGCACAAGTCTGACCACGTCATCCTGCTCCTCCGCCAATTTCAGTAAACTCCAGTAGCTGCCTACTGCCTCCAGGAGTAAATGCAAAATCCTCGGTGTGGCTCTTAAGCCCTTCTTACCCTGGTGCCCTCCTATCTTTCCAGTTGTCTTACACCCTATTTCCCTTCACGTCCTCTGTGATCCAGTGCGCTGGCTTTCTAGCAGCTCCTTGGACAAGACACTCCATCTCCCGACTCCAGGCATTTTCCCCGACTGTCCCCCATGTCTGGAAGTCTCTCCCTCCTCATCTCTGCCTCTTGGCTTCCTTGATGTCTCAGCTAAAGCCCTACCTTTCGCAAGAAGCCCTTCCCAGTTTTCTTTCATCTCAGTGTCATTCCTCTGAGATTTCGCTCCAATTTATCCTGCATGTGTCATGTTTGTACCTAGTTGTTTGATTGTTATCTTTCCCATTAGAATGTGAGCTTCTTGAGAGCAGGGACTGGTTTTTTGCCTTTCTTTGTATCCTCAGACCTTAGCACAGTGCCTGGCACATAGTACGTGCTTAATAAATGCTTGACTTGCCTTACCATACTAGCTATTGTTATTCATTCACTTAAAATCTCCTTCGTTTGATTTTCCTATACCTACATCTTCTTATTCTTTCCATTTCCTTACTTGAAAAGTACTTTTCTTCTGAAGGTCTTTGTTCTTCCTCCCTCCCTTCGTTGTATTTTTACTCTATTTAAATGGGAGGGCTGAAAAGTTGGGTTCTATCAGGATACTCCACTCTGTCACCTTGCTGGAACTCCTTCCTCTTACTCTTGGAAAGTATGCTGTAGGCCTGGAAAACCCCTTAACAATTTCTTTCTTTCCCACCATTCTAAAAGCTCCTGAAATGCCTAGCTCCTTCACTGCAGCCTTCCCAAAGTGATCAGAGGAAAGCAGACAGCATCCCCCTCTCCAGAAACAGGCCTTTCCCAGCTAGCTTTCCCACATGGCCACATAAATATTCACTTTTCCCTACTTGATGCCTCTAAGATGGCCAGGCCTATCTGGGATTCCATTCAAACCAATAAGCATTTAGGAGCCTCCTCTGGGGAGAAAGTGGAAAGAATGCAGAGCTTGGTGTCACCATTTGCTAACTGGATGACCTTGGACAAGTCACTGACCCTCTCCTAACTTGTTCCCTCCTTTGTAAAATAAGGAGGTTGTACTAGATGATCTCTGAGGTTCCTCCCTACTCTAAATCTATGATCCCATGTGCCAGCAACTGTGCTATGAGCTGGAGATACCAAGGCCAAGTTCAAACAGTCCCTGCCCCCAGGGAGTGACGGGTGGGTATGTGTGTGTGTGTGTGTGTGTGTGTGTGTGTGTGTGTGTGTATACATACAACATGTACACAAATGGTAAATACAAACCAAGGTGTTTTGTGTTTTGTCTGTTTAGGGAAACACTAACAAACACCTGGGGGAAATCAGGAAAGGCATCTTTTAGGAGACAGTACTTGAGCTGAGCTTTGAAAGAAGGAAGGGAATCTCAAGAGGCAGGGGGACGAGGCAACAGGGTGGTGGCTGGGAATCAGAAGAAAAGGGACTGAAAACTGCATGAGAGAAGAGGTGAGGACAGATTGGCCACAGCATACACAGCCTTCTCCAGGGGCTGGGCTGTGAAAACGATGAGAAGTATGAGACAACAGCCCGAGGGGTGGAGGAGAGCTGGTCATGTTTGTAGGCAACAGGGAGGATGCAAAGAGCTGTTTCTGTCTTCTTTAACACTTCTCTTCTAGCAAGAGTTCTTGTTTGCTCAGTGGCTGACACTGTTAAGTGTTTTAACAAAACCACAAAGGCTCAGAGTCTGAAGACTCCTGAGGCCACTTAGCCCAGCCAATACCTGAACAATAAACCCCCTACAACCTTCCTGAAACTTGATCCTCTCACTTCATCCGAAGACCTACAATGAAGAAAACCCCACTATATGCCCAAAGGCAACCCCTTCTATTTTTGGATGGTTCCAATTCTTAGGAAATATTTTCCTTGTTAGTTCTGTGTGCCTGTCTGCAACTTTGACCCGGAGAACCTTTTGGGACCCAGCAGAGGCAGTTACAGATGCAAGCCCTTTGAACACTTAAATCCAATTAGCCTATTTTCTCTAGGTCTTCCCCTTCCACTGGCTAACCCTTCCTGGTTCTTTCAACCAATCTTTCCATGGCTTCGTCTTAAGTTTCCTCATTTTCCTGGTTATTCTCCTCTGGATGAACTCCAGTTTGTCAATGTCCCTCCTCAAATGTGGTTCCTAGAACTGAAAACACAACTTCACAACTTCAGGGATGGTCAGACCCGATCAGGATCACAAAGTCATCGATCTGAGCAGAGATGGATGTCAGAGGGTGTCCACTTTGACCCCTTCACTCCCAGGAGAAGAAGCCACGGCCTAGGAGTGAGAGGACTTCTCCAAAGTTACACAGCTAGTCAGCATCAGTGATGAGATTTGAATTCAGGTTTCCTAACAAGTCCTAAAGAACCCCCCCCCACCCCCATTTCATTATACTGCAGTCCTTCTAATTATTGTACAGCTTATAATTGTGAATGTAATTGTCACTTGTTGATTTTTAAAGTTTAAGTACAGGACTTTTACATTTATCTCTATTGAATCTTATCTCAGTAGATTTGGCCATTATTCTAGTCTGTTGAGATCTTCTAAATCTTTTACCTGATGTATTTACCAAACTTCTGAGCTTCGTGTCATCTCTAAGTTTGTCTAGCATCCAAGTTATTGACAAAAATGTTGAATAGCATGGAGCCAAGGGCAGATCCCCAGGGCACTGCTCCAGAGACACCTCTCTCCAAGTTAACATTGGGCATACGTAACTGAGTAGCCTTTTGGCTGAGTCATTTAACCAGCAACGCACCTAACTATATTCTCTTCCAGTCCAGCTCTCTCCATTTTGTCCACAATGACAGTAAGAGAGGCGATGTTAAATGTTTACTGAAATCTAAGAATACCATGTGCACAGTCATTTGGTATTATACTTTTATTTACTCTATGGAAAAGGAAATACGGGCATGACCCGCTCTTAAAGGCATGTTTGCTCTTTGTGATTACTGATTCTCTTTTAAAATATTCACAAACTTTCCCTTTAATAATACATTCTAAGATTTGGCTAGCAATTAAATGAAGCTTAATGGCCTATGGCTTGCAGACTTCTCTCTCTCTTTTTTTTTAATTCAGAAAATAATGACACTTTTTAAAGGTCACTGACAGCAGCCCAGCAATCACCTGCTGGTTCTTTCAGTACCCTGGGCTGTAATATTGGTGACTTGAATGCACTGAAAGCAGACAGATGTTTCCCCCTCATTTCTCTTGGGTTTCAATTCCTGCTAATCATTTTTATTCTGTTTCAGTCACAAAAAATTTATTGTTTTTTTTTTTTTACATCACCTGCATCTCCAAACATATCACTCCCTTAATCCACACTTTTTATGATTAGATGCACAGTACCTTGGTAAGAGTGATCAGTAATCCTCTGATAGAGGTGACAATTATTATTCCAACAAGGATAAAGGAAATGTGCTGGGACCAGAATTTCACCTGTCACAAAAATAAGGAAAAGAAATGTTAAAATTTTGCTAAGTGAGAACATGGTCATGATACTATAATCTAATCTATTCATAGGATCATATGATTTAAAGCAAAAAGGTTCTTTGAGATCATTTAATTTATCCTTCTCATTTTGCATATGAGATTATGGCATCTGGATTTGCTTCAGGTCTTCTGATTCCAAAGTCAGCCCTCTCGCCAGTACCCATCCATGTGACCTCACTCTGTATTGAGGGGTTGGGTGATCTACCTATGTGAGATCACAATGGGCATATGTGGGGGGCAAGAAAACAATAATTAAAATAGCTGGAGAAAGACTGAGACCAATATTTAAAAATTATCTTGAAAAGAAAAGAAGAAAGCAGAGCAAATTAACCCACGCACTGCCCACAGATCGGAAGGACAAGAAAAATGACAGCTCTCCCATGCAATTAAAGAATACTAATAAAAGGAAAAGAACTGAAGACTATTTGGTTATTTACTCCATCTTAGAAAAAGTCACTGTGTGTGAAACTGTAAGACCATTTCATACATATCTGATTGCAAAGATTCTATTCCTCTATCCTAAGAAAAAAAGAGGTACATGGCTTTCTTAGCCAAGTTCTAGAAAGTAGCTGAACTTGATGCAAAGTTTCAATTTGACATATAGGCTTTTCTCTTCTTGTATCGACTCGAGTCAGAGGCAGTTTTGAGGGCCGGGTGCAGGGCAGCATTCTTGCACTACACAGTGAAGTTCTGAAAGGTGTTTGAATAGGAGCTGCTGAGACTGAAATCTAAGATGTATTTATGCAAAGTTATAAAGCGTTTGCTGATGCCTTTTCAGAGGTAGAATGCATCATATGAGGAAGGTAGTGAAAATATCAAAGGCAGTAACTGCATATCCTCTCTCAAAACTGATAAAGGGACAATACTTTTTTTTTTAAAATTCAGACTTGTGAAATTAAGATGAGAGGGAAAGACCTTCACATAAATGAAAAAGACAAGAGTTATCAATATAGGACACATACTGACTGCTTTCGGGGAAGAAAGAGGTGCTACTGATTCACCATTAGGAGAGTACATTTATGTGGTTTTTCCTAGGAATGGGTACACAGAGGCTGGGCTGCAAAAGGACACCTGGTTCACCCTGTAACTGAGTAAGAATCTTCCTGACAACATCCCTAACACATGGTGATCCAGCCTTTTCCTAGGACTTCCAGTAAATTGAGGGGATGCCCATCAACTGGGGAATGGCTGAACAAGTTGTGGTATATGATTTTGAGGTAATACTATTATACTACAGGAAATGATGAGCAGGATGGTTTCAGAAAAACCTGGGAAGACTTATATGAACTGATGCAAAGTGAAGTGAGCAGAACTAGAACATGGTACATAGTCACAGTAATACTGTAAGGACGACCAACTGTGAAAGACTTAGTTACTCTGATCAAGATCAATCCAAGACAATTCCAAAGTTCCCATCATGAAAAATGCTATCCACCTCCAGAGATAAAACTGATGAACTCTGAATGCATATTGAAGCACACTTCTTAAACTTTATTTATTTTTCTTGTTTTTTTATGTGGAACCATTAGTTACAGCAAATAGAGAAATTCTGAATGCTTTGGATAAGTTTACTTACCTTGGCAATATACTTTCCATGGATGTACACATTGATAATGAGATTGACACACACATTGCCAGAGCTAGTTCAGTGTTTGGGAGGCTCCCAAGGAAAGTGTGGGAGAGCAGAGGTATTAGACTGACTACCAAACTGAAGGCCCACAGAGCTGTTGTGCTAACCTCATTGTTGTATGCCTGTGAAACCTGGACAGTATACCAGCACTATGTCAGGAAACGGAATTGCTTCCATTTGAATTGTCTTAGGAAGAGTCTGAAGATCACCTGGCAGGATAAGATACCAGACACTGAGGTCCTTTTTTGAACTAAACTGCCAAGCATTCAAACTCTATTACAGAAAGTGCAACTCCAACGGCCTGGCCACATTGTTCAAATACCAAACATACTCTTGCGTATTATTTTATGGAGAACTCACACAGGACAAGCACTCACATGGTGCTCATAAAAAGCAATATAAAGACACTCTCAAGGTCTCTCTTAAGAACTTTGGAATTGATTGTGTGACATGGGAGACACTGGCACAGGACTGCCCAGCATGGTGTGCCCACATCAGAGAAGGTGCTGTGCTCTGTGAGCAGAGCAGAATTGAAGTAGCTCAAAAGAGACTCGAGATGAGCAAATTTAGAGAATCCACCTCAAATGTGCACACAGGCTATTTGTGTCTGACCTGTGGTAGAGCCTGCTGAGCTCATCCTGGTCTGATCAACCACAGTCAGACACACTGTACCTTGACTCTAACACAGTGATGAAGTAATTTTGGTCCTCTTCCACAGGACCAAATATATGTGCACGTGTGTGTGTGTGTGTGTGTGTGTGTGTGTGTATAATGGATATTATATCATTACATAATAGTTCCTTTAAGCATCACGTAACTGCCTTGCTTCTTTTTGCCATATCTATTTTTACTGTTGCTTTGTCCAATATGATTGTTAACCATGCTTTTCTGAATATATGTGACTTATGTTTCAAGTGTGTTTCTTGCAAACAACACAGTTGGATCTTGCTTTGTAAACTATTCTGCTAGCTTCCTCCATTTTTTAGGTTAGTTCATCTCATTCACATTCATGGTCATAACTGTTAGTTGTGCTTTTTCTTCCATCATATCTTATAATATTCCTTTTATTTGTTCCCCATCTCCCTCCTTTTACAAGGAAAAGAAGTGGTAATAGAAAACAACTGAGTTTAACACTAGCTATTTATAACTGGAATGGTCTAGTTCTAATCCTTTACTCTCTTCCTCTTCACTCAACCCAGATGAAAATTGCTGGATCTTATGCTTTCTTTCTCTCCTTTTAAGTCTCCCTTTATAAAACCTTGTTTGTAGTTTTGCTTCTGACTCTACCCTCTAATTTAACTCCTTCTCAAACTCCCCTCTTCCTATCCTCGTCTACTTCCTTTTTGATTTTAATGTATTTCTACATTACACTTATATGTTCATGTATATTTAGCTGTCCTACTGGTTCAGATGAAAAGTGATGTTCATATGAAGCTTGCGCCATTCATCCCTAAATCTCCATGTTTTTATATTCTTCTAACCCCTAATCTCCCAATTATGAGGAATAGTATGTTCCTACCACTTCCTTATTTTTTCGTTAAAGTATTTCCTTTCCCCAGCCCCCCCCTTAATATAACAAACAAAACAGCAAAGATTTATTTCTTGAAATATGGTACGCAAGTTCTTTGTTTCAAGGAGTCTAAAGATTCTTAAAATATCTCTCTTCATCCTGCTTCCTGTCAGTTGATATTGCCAGTACATATCTTATTCTCTATAGTTTTCAGTCTTTTGACTTTGTTTTAATATTTCTTTTTGTCTTATTGAATCACTGAGTTCTGTTCCTCCATTCTATTTTTCAAGGTGTCAACTACTTTATGGATAGAGTGCCATTTTTGTTTTTGATTTTTTTGTTGTTGCTCCAAGCTATTTATTCTTATTCTAAGTATTCTAATTTTATTTTTTAACTTGTTTCAGCTTTTCATTCACTTTTTTCTATCCAGTCCTGGAGCTCTTGTGACCAACTGATTCTTTTTTCCTAAGGTTCAAACTAGGATTATTTTAAGAGTTATCTCCTTTCTCTGGAATTTAATCTTGAGATTCTTTTAACCTCTATTTCTATATTAGAGTGGGATTTTTTTGTCTCATGTTTACAGCTTTATTTCTTGGGTTAGGACTTTGTGCCATGCCCAGGCTCTGAACCCTCCCGAATTGTTGGATTACTTAACTAGGCCCAGGTCATAGCTCCTGTTGTCCTCCCATAGTAAGACAATGTTATACGGAGCCTAAGTCCTACCTCCTCTATAGTCTGGAATCTCAAGTCTTCAAGGGACCAGGCCCTGCCTTCTTCCATAGCCCTTTCATAGTGGGACTGGAGGTGGACAGTGCTGGTTCCTAGTCTTGCCCCCTATCACAGTCCCAATGGGTCTTGCTGGCCTTTTCAGTATCCCTATGTAGTCAGTGACCAGAGTCCAAGGCCCCAGGCTTCAACCCCACTAGTTTTAGTCTGGTCTTCTGGGAATATACAAATCTCTGGTCATCATACTGCCCCATCCCCCCATGCAGTCATTTACCTAGGTATCTATGGCTTCAGTCTGTGTCCCCAGGCCTCAGCTCTTAGAGCAGCCCCACCAGAGATAACACTGCCTTTAAACTGATCTCCAGGGGTATCCTTGGACCCCCTAAGTGCCACTTGTCCTGGTTTCCTTGTACCATCTCCTGCCAGCAAGCTTAGATCCCTATTTTAGGGCCGAGCTTCTCACGTCATCTTGTATGGGATGAAAAGGCTTGGCAGCACTTTTGTTTTGAAATTTCATTTGAGGTTCTTCCTCATTGTTAATAAGTGTTTCTCAGAGAAGCTGGGGCTGCCTGGAGCCTTTTAAATTGTCATCTTCACCATTAGTCTACCTCTTTGAAGGAAGCTAAGAATTCTAAGAGACAAAGGTGGGGAGACAGGGAGGGCATTCCAGGCATGAAACCAAGAGAAAGGAGGCCAAATCCTGGGAACAGTAAGTAGACCAGTTATCCTGGTATGCAGAATGTGGTGCACCAAATGGAATAGTGAGAAAGTCTGGAATACTCTGGAAATAAGAAGTGTGAAGTAGTCCAGAAGGGTAGGCCAGACCCTGAACAATTCTCATTCATATTGGACAAAACAAAGAAAAGCAGAATAAATTAGGATATTCAAACAAGTCTTACATCAAACTGGATTCCCAAATAATTCACTGTGATCTCAATGCCTCTTGTGACAGGATCCGTTTTCCCAACTCGATCAAACACAATGTTGATTGTTGCCTGCAAAAAACACAGATGGTCCTATATTTCATTTGCTATTTTGCTCAAGAGTTTCACAATCATAAACTAACCCTCACAGCATTACCTGAAAGGATAGTTCTCTAGACCCAAGAATGACAATTCTACACAAGATTCAAATTATGTATGAAAAACATTTATTTCTTTAACTCATTTGTGGTCAAATAAATGTTTCCATACAAACCATCTCTCTTCTGAAGTCAACTCTCTCTCTATTATGAGAAGTTCTAGAGAGAACCAAAGGTAATCAGAATGCGCTTTCGGATCATCTTAAGCTCATGAATAATACCTGGAATGGTATTGCTAATACCAATTAATAACATGATTCCAAACCCATTTAAAATGTATAGAATATGCTGTCAATGCACCTTTCATCCATACTGCTGAAAACACAACAAATATTCAATAAATATTGAGTCTGTAAATTTTCTACTTAATAGAGATATTTCTTTTTAATTCTAGCACCCAGCACATCAGGTTTGACCTACATAAAATACTCTTCTTTAAAAGTTTTGGAGTAGTCCATTCTTTCTTAAAGAAAAAAGTGCAATATCTCTTTGAGTTTGTTGGAAGCCAAAGAAATCACACTTTGAAGGAGAAGATTCCAGTTGGACAGTCAATTTCCTTCAGCTCAATAGGCCTTTAAGTATTCACAACATGCAAGGCACTGGGAATGTGTTGGGAATCCAAAGACAAAAATGAAAAAGACATTACACTCAAGGCTACGATATGCAGACAGCTGAGTAAATACAGAATGATCTGAAGTGGGAAACAGTGCTGAAACCTAGGGAGATCAGGAGAGATTTCCCATAGCAAGTGGCGCCTGCACTAAGCCTTGGAGGAGTCTAAGGATTCTAGGAGCAGGACATGAGAAAGACCCAGAGGTGTGGGATGAACTGCTGCTTAGCTGTGGAACCAGCAAACACACAAGTTTTGCTGAAACAGAGTGTGAAGGAGTACTGTGAAATAAATCTGGAAAAGTAGGCTGGGGTTAAATTGAAAAACTTTCAAGACCAAGCTAAGGTGTCTGCATTTTATCCTAGAAGCAAAGGGAGACAATGAAGCAATATGGTCAGACCTGTGCTCTAGGAAGATTTTTTTTGTAGCTATATGAAGGCGAGGAGGGAGATCAGAAATGAGAATACCAATCAGGAGACTATTACAATACTCCAGGTGAGGTAAAGTGATGAACCAGAGTGAATTCGCTATGTGAATAGAGAGGAGGAGATGGTTGTGAGGGATATTGTAAAGATAAGGGTCGAAAACTTGCTATCAATTAGATGTGAAGGAGAATGAAAAGTCAAGGCTAATTATGAGATTGAGATCCACAGCGACTGGCAGGACAATGATAGTCTGAACAGAAATTGGGAAGTTTGAGGAAGGGAAAGGGGGAAGCAGAGGAGTTCTGTTTTGAATATATTAAGTTTGAAGGGCTTACAGAACATTTAGGCAGATGACTATTGGGCACTTGGTAATGTAGGACAGAAACTTAGAAGCCACACTGATTTGAATCATCTACATAGAGATGAAGTTGAACTCATAAGAACTCACAGAGAAAAGATGGCTCAGGAACCAGGGAGAGTACTCATGATTTGAGTAAACATTCATGGATGATGACCAAACCGAGGCTTCATATTTGGTACAAAATGAAATACACATTTGGTAACAACTGGCACAGTCCAAATTAATCCATCAGTACCAAATCATCTCTTAGTCTAGATATAGTCCTACTGGGAAAATCAAATCAAACTACTGATGACCATAGGTAAGAATACGACAAAAGGCAGCCGATAGTTAGAAAACATGTATGTTGGAATTGGTACTATAGGATATGATATACAATAGCTACAAAGAAATTATATCAGTAAATACAAGAGGTAAACTCATCTAAAGATTCTTAACTACTTTGTCATTAATTTTAAAGATGAAGATGATTAAACAAAAAGCACGTGGGTGGTTTGTCTTCTAAATGGCCACCAGAAGTTGAGTATACTGCCTCATTTAAACTAGAGCATTATATTGAGTGGAAAGCAGTTTGAAACAATTAATAATGAATAATTGTATTTATTTTACATGCTTCATGTCTCAGTGCCTTTAGACAGACAAAAATGAAAAGGATGGAAATTAGCAAAAGTTTCAAGGTTTGACCTGGTTGGAACAATGTTTTATAAGCAAGTTAAGTTAAAGGTATTGATTAAACCAACCCTTCTTTCTCATTAGATTTACAAGAACCCCAAAACAACAAACAGCACACTTACCATGAAAATTTTCCAAACACAGTAAATAGAGAAAAAATAACCTAAAAAATTAAAGTATTTTCCTTTGAAAGTTTTAGAATATTCTATTCTCTCCTGAGGGGAGAAAAAAACAAACATGTAACATGTTAGGTTCATATGAAATCAAAATCCAATCTCCACTAAAAACCACAATTCCTTTTGTGAGCCACACCCAGGTTAGCCAACCGAGGCCAAAAATCACATGAATTCAAGTTCTAGAGCATAAGAATAATTCTTGAACTTCCAAACATGGTATTGTTTTCCTAACAAAAAATCAAGATAACTCTCACCCTCCACCTGCTGAGTTTTGCTTATTTAAATCAGCCAGCTCCCAGCCTGTATAGAATGGGGAATTTGCAGAGGTAGAAAGGATCTTAGAGATCTATTTAGTCTGACTGCCTCATTTTACCAAAATGGAAACTGAAGTTCAGGGAGGTGAATTCTCTTCACTCTGGTCATAGAGAATGTTGAAAAGCTTGGATCCAAACCCAGCTTTTCTGATTCTAAATCCGATACTCTTTCTACTACATTGGCTGGCTTCCTCCCCCCGCCCCCAGTTTAGGAATAGGGAGCGGGACACATTTACTTGGGATAGATCAGTTTAAATGGAGCCGTGGCAAGCTGCTTTCTTCAGTTAGATGGCTTCGTGACCTGTCCTGGCTATTTAGAATACAGCTAGACAAAGTGGAAGAGGTGCGTCACAGGAGCAGTAGGACAAATTTGGAAGGGAACAGAAGAGGGCAGAAGGGGCTACCAGTGGGGATAGTGGGATAACCGTGATGCTCCAGGCTGAGCAATGCTACTGCAGCAGCAGGGCAAGGAGAGCTCTGTCTTAGGAGAGTGGGAGCGGCCACTTCATGACTTGCGTGGGCTCCCCACTCTCAAAGGTCCCACATTTTCATGCTTAACTATCTAAGGAGCTAGCCCTTATGTTGCCTGGTTAGACAGGCCCAAGAGATGGCTCGGCCTTTCTTCCCTACATGGTTGGAGATAATCCAGCAGCTTTCCACTCTGTACCTTTGTAGCATAGAGATCAACTGTTTCCAGAAAAAGCTGTCTACTTAGCTCTTCCAAAGCATCCACCTCCTGCTGAATGAGAGTAAGATCTGGAGCAGTGTGGAGTCAAGGTTTATATTCTTGTCAAGTCTGGAGAAAGAGCGAAGCCTTACTTTTAGTCTGTCCCTCTCCTAGGTCCCCAGAACAGCTCAGCTTTCAGGGGCTCTGCTGCTTTTCTCCTGGCTCAGAGATGTCTAACAGTAAACCTCCAAATGGAGGATGGGTTCCTCAAAGCGCAGGTGAAAGCTGTGCTCCAGAGCACAGTCGTTTTACCAACGCCCAAAGAAGGCTGGTGATGCTTCTCAAGAAAAGAACACTCACCACTTGGCTTCTCCCTCATCCTCAGGTGCTCGCTGTACAGAGGGTTTAATGTGTAGTCCATATTTATTAATTAGGCTAGATCATAAAGGGTTACCTGATTATTCTGTTGTTGGCTATTATTCTTATCCCCCTTTTCACTGAAACGGTTTAAACCATTACTGTCTTGGCCACTCCAGGTTTTGGAAGATGACGTGTCTAAGGAGGGAAGTCTGACTCCTTCCAAAACACCTCTATCTCTAATCTCACTCAATCTTCCTCACCTTGCTGCATTTTGCCCTACTGTTATTTGATTTTGCAAATGACCCTCTGAGCCACCTTGCCCTTTCCCTCTCAATGAATCTGCGGAACAACTCATATACCACAACAACCATGGCTGTCACAGCCATATTCTAGCCCAGGGGTACCCTGTTCTAGCCCACCACCCACGCACTAGCAAAAAGGTTGTTGTATGGCTCAAATAAGCCTTCTTGTGGAAATGCTTTGGCTCCACGCAGAGCTGTGCAAGTGAAAGGCAGAAATAGGAATAGGCTTAGGGACCAGACCCGGGACTTCACTGGGATAGGGACCTCCTGGATGAGAAAGCTCTCTCTACCAACACAGATCAACACCTTCCCTGCAACTTATAGTCTCAAAGATGTGCTTGGAGCAACGGCGGCAGGGCGACTTGCCCAGTTGGTCAATGTCGGGGGTAGGACTTGACCCCGGCCTTCCTGACTGCAAACCAGCTCTGTACCCACTATGCCCGTGTGCCTCAAGTGAGAAATATCATTGTTAAAATCAACAATCATTGACGGAAGAGCTTAGGTCACACTGTGGAATGGCAAAGATCACAAACATGTGCTTCTCTCCGATGCACTTTGCCCAGTTCGGACACAGGCTGCCTCGCACACAGACCTCGGAAGCAGCTGCTTCTGCTCCTCTCTTCCCATCTGCTCTTCACCTGGGGCTGAGGATGAGGCTCACACTGAGACAAAGGATACTCTCGCTTCCTGGGGCTGAAGCGGTCACACTCTTAATCATTCCCCAGAAGCCCGACGGTTTGTTGTTCACCTCTCCTTTCTGGAACAGGTTTCTCCGGGCCATGGCTATCCTGGAAAGAAAGAGAATTCAAAGCCCTGGAAAAGAAACAAGGACACGCCATAGTACCCATAGTACATAGTACCCAGGATCCTACAGAGAGGACTAGGTAGTTTCTTTTTTTGCCTCCTCCAAAGCAAAAGGAGCTTTGAGTCAGTTCAGGAAGAGATACAACCGGATTCGAACTTCCTACTAATGGCTTAGTAGTATGTAGTTAGACAAACAAAATCACATCAACCATGGAAATTCATACTGTGCCATCTGCCTACAGGTTTAAAAGAAATTAGAACAAGCACCTGAAAATTAGGAAGGTGGGACCATGGAAACGGATATGTGGCATCTCCCTTCCACTGTCTTTTGGGTAAATTTTCATTGGAATCTGTGTCTATAAAGGAAATTCTGATTACTTTGGTCTGAGAAACAAGGGGCAGGAATAGTGAGACATAGCAGTGGAGAATGTTGCAGGGATCAATTCAAATGCTGCAACTCCAATACAATTTCTGTAGGCCAAATGGTTCTTGGAAACTATCTGCAAGATTGGTACAATAAGGGATCCCAGAAAGTGCCAGCCATGTTAACTCATGTACTTCCTCATCCCAAATCATTTTATTAATTCAGTAACAGCCTCAGGTCAGCATCTGGCTAGTATGTGAATGAAAGAAGATTTCAATCAATTGGCCAGAGTCCCAAGGTTTGGATTTTTCTGCCTCATTCTCTTTGACTGTGGGCTTTAGCATCTCAGGAAACTGAAACTACTCAGGAAGAGGCAAACGACTTAAGCAGACCCCATGGCTTGTGATGTAGGTATCCGCCTTTCTGCTTTTAGATGTGGGTATTCTTAGACAGGTATGTGATGGGGACTGAGGAGGAGGAAGGGGTCCTTACCCTATTCACACAGAGCCTCCAGTCACTTATGGTACTGGGGCAATAGGATAAGAGATAAAAATGGAAAAGGTATAGAAATGCATGCCTATTTTCCTCCATCTCAATGACTGCAAAGTGCTCCCATCACTGCCTGGCTTCCAAATGGGGGAGGGGACGTCTATGAAAGCTGCTAACAGCTTCTAGCAGAAGCTCACTGAATGTGCGGCTCACACTGGGGATGAGCTGCATAATCCCATCTTAACAGTTCCCTTTCCATTTGGTCTGTAATTTTCTACTGACTTACAAACCTATTCTGCTACTTCTGTGGTAGATAAAGCTGAGAAAAAAAAAAGAGCTGAGTTAGGAGAGTTACATCCAATTCCACAGGGTGAGGTAAGGGGTAAAAAAGCCCAAATAAAAGATGCTAGCAAAACGTGGTTTTAAAGAAGTCGAGAATGTTTGCTCTTAGTATCGCAAATCTTTTTCTGACTGGGCCCACATTAGAGGCCCACCTCAAGCAGTGAGCTCTTGGATATGAGTAGAATTATGGCAAAAGTCGTAATCTGGGAAAAACAAAAGACCTTAAAGAACATAGAATGAGTTTTGCATTTAGCAAAGATTTGGCCAGAAAATTCTGTAAAGATAATGTACGCTGGCAAAAACCTGTAGTTTGGTTCAAAATTTCACTAATAAATCTATCTTCCCTGATGCCGACACATCTTTAAAAAAGAGAGACCAGAGTGCCCCGGAGCAACCTGTAGTGACTTAATGACTAGGGTAAAGAAATCCAAAAGGACAAAGCTTGTCCATTAGTGATGGTAATTCATGCCTGATGCACACACAGAGGGCTCTATTTCCTCCTCTGAAATACGTGGGGCAAAAAGAAGAGGCTTCAGGGTGATACAAATTCTTAACCTTTAAAGTATATTGCTTTATATACAGTGTTTGCAATGTTGAAAAAAATTAGTTTCTGGGAAGACATTTGCACTGCTTGACTTTGCTTATCATATTAATCTAGGTTTTTATATCAAAAGCTATGTAGGAAACAACATCTGTGGAAAGAACACCAATCTGGGGCAGTTTCGCTTGGCATTTCCTGATTACCACATAACTGTAATTTCAATACTGGATTAATGTGACCTTTTTGAAATAGGAGTTTTTAGGCTTATACATATTTGCTTTGGCTGTAGAAATTACATTTAAGCCCGTTTCACAATACAGCAAGAACAAAGGCTTTGCTTGCTACAGCAGCAGAACAAATAACCCAAATAACACGTCACATCAGACGCTCAGATGGAGACCATCTGATGAGACAGCAGCAGACAGCCTTTGATCATGGACCCTGCATGAATATCATTGTTTTTAGTAAAACAAGGCTCCCCGACTCCTCCAAGCCCCATCTCCTAAACAGTGTTCCAACTGAGAAGCCATCCTGTGCCTTTTCAGTCTTCCTCCTCCTCCTCCCAATGGCTCATGCATGTGTTACATACGCTAGTCTAGTAAACTTGTTCCTCCTCCGGACGCCCTCTGCTGGTAAACCTGAGGGTGCTTTTCACTTCCTACTCCATTCTGAGCAGCTACACTTTGCAAAGTGGTTTTCCAAGCTCTAACAAACAATCAAAATATTGGGTCAATTCTAAAAGAATGGTATAGACTTGCCTCTAAAAAGCAAGTCTTAAAAGCCTGTGTTAAAGAGGTTAAGGTTGATCCTTGTAATGATGAGCTAAGGTATTTCACAAGGAAAAGAACCTATCTCAAAATCCTGGCCAGCTACGAATGTTGTGGGTTATAGAGATAACTAGGCTGGAGTCTGGATGGCTCCGCCCAAACCCATTATCACTGTTGGTGATGAAATGACAAAAACCTACAAACGCATCTTATTGATATGAGTCCTCAACAGTTTTTGACTTGACTGTCCTCCATGCCCAGAATGTACAGCTTCCTGTCTTCCTCGTCTTAGAACCCCTCGCTTCTTCAAAGATCAGCCTTACTTTCTACTGAGACCTTTCCTGGATCTCGGCTTCTAGTGCCTTCCTAGCATAAAGTTATCTTGTATGCATTTTGCATATAATTATATCTATAATGTCATTTCCTCTGAGATAATATAACTTTTTAAAAAGCAGGGACTGTTTCATTTTTTTGTCATTGTATCCCAGCAGCTAGCACACAGTAGGTGCTTAATAAAAGCTTGTTGATTAGGTCATATAGCTTACTAAGTATCAGAGACTGGATCTGAACTCAGTTCTTCATGTTTCCAAAACCAGCACTCTCTCCAACATGCTATGGAGCTTCTTTCATTGACATTTAAAAACCTAGAACTGTGCTAGAGCCAGCTCAAAGCAGTTTGCAAGAGCTGGTCATTAAATTTTGAGTGTGAGCATTTACACTTCAGAAACTGGCAAATGCTTTGAATCAGGGCTAGATTTATTGCTTTGGTGACTGTCTAAACTTAAGAGATTGATTGAAAAAATGTTAATAATGCAAATTAAACTTAAAAAAAGTATCATGGTTATATTTTTCTTCCTGGAAAGTTGGCTGTTAAAGACCAGCACATCCCTATTTATATATGAATGTTAATGGCTTTAGTGAAGGCAGAACATTTTAGGTTCTAAAAAAACTTATTATAGTGCATGGAAAACAGGATAAAATTATTTTATTTGGACATTTCCTGAGCAATCTTCCCAGTGAAATCTTGGTGACGTTAGCTGTGGTATTGTCATATTTCAAGTTGTTATTTAGTTGGTGTGGACTCTCCACTAATATAAACCCCCAAAGCAGGGGTTCTCTCTCACTCTCTCTTTTTTTTTTTTTTAGGCAATTGGGGTTAAGTGACTTGCCCAGGGTCACACAGTTAGTAAGTGTTGAATGCTTGGTCTGAGGGTGGATTTGAACTCAGGTTCTCCTGACTGCAGGGCTGGTGCTCTATCCACTGCACCACCTAGCTGCCCCCAAAGCAGGGGCTTGGCAGTCTAGGAAGCCTATTCTTGGAAAAATGATTTTAAAATGCATAAAATATAATATATGGAATTATAAAGGAAGCCAGTCATATTGAAATATAGTTATCAAAATAAGCTAGGCTGATTCTTGCAAAAGAGACATATATCCATGATAGGACCCTTCCAGTTTGCTAAGACCTTCTAGAATTTTTGGTCCACTGGTATAGATGTTTAAGAATTCAAGGTCACCTCTTCACCAAAATGAAGTACTTACTATAAATAGGAATTCAGTGGAGAATAAGGTTTGACCACCATAAAATACTCTGAATGTATATAAACTTCTGTGAAATACTTTGCTTGAAATGTATATTTTCAAAGAGCTTTGATATTAACAATCACAATAATGACCATTAGAATGTTTGAAGGATTTTTTAAGGCATCTAGAGAAAAGAAATGGAAAAGATTCACCGCTAGCATGGAAAAATGTATCCTCCCATACTTCTAATAGTCCAATGGAGGATGATAATAAGTGGAAATTGTTATTATTGTAAAGCAAAATTTTCAAGCACTTAGTGACTGCGTTTTTCAAAATATTTTTGTGCCAGCTTAGATATAAGATACCTTAGATAGAAGATGCCACTCAGAAATGGGCAAGACGAAAGTTCCTTGCTGACAGCAGTTCTTACGGTTAATACTGTCTAGGAAGCTCCAAAGGAATGAAAATCATTGTGAATGTTTCAGAATCTGACCTTTTCTTTTTGCTGATGATCATGTCCATGGTTTGAAGCAGTCGGCGTTCCAGGGCTAGAATATCCGTGTCTGTCACATTCCTGCAATAAAATACACATCCATACTGTTTGCACTGTATTAGGCTCATAAGGGAGGTGCCACCATCACTGTCAGGTATAATTAAAGTCATCAGTCATCATCCAGTACAGTGAATTAATTCAAGCCCATGCCTTTCCCTCAAGAACTTTAAAACAGCCACATTAAATGAGAATAATGGTGCTTTCATTTCTTGGGATCCTGATTAAAGAACAGTAGAGGGCTCTTAGCATCTCATCTCTTGTACATTCTTCCTTAGGTCTGGTCCAGTGACAGGCAGGATATATTGCCAAGGCATCTCCTTAACTTAGCACTGTCTCTTACTGTCCCATGTACAGAGAGCCCTGGTGTGCGGGTAGATGTTGGGATTAGATCATGTTTCTACCTGTTAAGCTTCAACATCCAACATCTTTCTCTGCTTCTACTTTCCAACTGTCCAGTACTACTAGAAGTCATACAGTCTTACTGAATGGGGTCACTATAAACGGATGCCTTCTGACTCAACTAGACCCTCCCTTTGCACAGTATTCTTCATTCATTTCACGGACACTTAAGAAATTCACCAAAGGGGCTCTTACAAAGTTCCATTCTGCTCAAACCTCTCACTTTAGCACCACCTTCTCTTTCTTTCTTTTTTGTTTAACCATTTAAAAAAATTATTTATTTTTAGTTTTCAACATTCACTTCCACAAGATTTTGAGTTCCAAATTTTCTCCCCATCTCATCCCTCCTCCCACCCCAAGATGGCATGCATTCTGTATACCCCTTCCTCTAATCTGCCCTCCCTTCTATCTCCCCCTCCCTTCTTTTATCCCCTTCCCCTTCTATTTTCCTGTAGGGCAGGATAGATTTCTATACCCCATTGCCTGTATTTCTTATTTCCCAGTTGTATGTGAAAACAATTTTTTAACATGTGTTTTTAAGCAAAGTTTTTAAATTTATTTAAATTAATTTAAGCTTAATGTTGTCCTTTCTTTTTGGTTATCTATTTTATGCAGATTCAAAACTCAATGTTAACAAAGGCTTTTTTTTTTTTGAGACTGGGTCTCCCTATGTCACCTAGGTGGGAAGGGCAGTGGCCACTCATAGGCCTAATCCCACTACTTAGATCAGGTGTCTTCATAGAACTGATCTACTTTGGCTTTTCTAGTATCAGTGGTTGGAGTACAGACTTGTATTACTCTGATGTTGAATGATTTGCCTTGGACTTGAAGAGGTATCATTTCGTCATTTTTGAGATTATACCCCAGTACTGCTTTTCTCTCCCTCTAAGGGCTACTCCATTTCTTCTAAGGGATTCTTGCCAATAGGTATATGTAGTGACTACCTGAACTTTATTCACCCATTCCCATCCATTTAAGTTCACCAGCACCAAAGATGTCAATGTTTAATCTTTCTATCCCCTGTTTGACCATATCCAGCTTGGTTCACAAAGCTTATATTCCAGTTCCTATACAATATTATTCTTTACAGCATTGGACTTTCCTTTCATCACCAGAGACACATCCTTAGCTAAGCTTCCTTTTAGCTTTGGGCCAGCTGCTTCATTAGCACTGAAGCTATTTGTAGTTGTGCTCTGCTCTTCCCCAGTAGCATGCTGGACACCTTCCAACCTGAGGGGCTTATCTTCTGGGATCATCTCTTTTATCATCTTAATGCTGTCCATGGGCTTTTCTTAGCAAGATACTGGAGTGGTTTGCCATTGCCTTCTTGAGTGGATCACCTTTTGTCAGAACTCTCTACTATGACCTGTCCATCTTGGGTAATCTTGCATGGCACAGCTCAGTTTCATTGAGCTCCACAAGCCCTTTCGCCACTTCTCCATTACCTACAAACTAATTCTGAGTTCCTTTATCAAAACAAAAAAAAAAAAGCCTTCCCTTGACTCTTTAAACCACTGTCTTCTTTCCATTCTCCTTCACTTTGAAATTAGAAAGAACAGTTTGCCATTTGCTGCCTCTGCTTCTTCACTCCTCTGTAATCTCCCAACCTATGGAGAGTGCTGATTCCAAGGTCACTCATAATCTCCTTCCTTATTTCCAAAGCCAACGGCCTTTTAGCACTTACAGCTTATTCTCCATACGGAGTTGACTGCCCTCTTCTTGATGATCTTCTTTCTTGGACTCATTGACCCTGCATTTCCCTAGTTCTCCTTGAGGCCTCCTTAACCTTTCTTCTTTTCACTCCCTCCACCAAAATAAAGGGTCCTCCTACCCCCAGCCCCTTCCTTTGGTTTCCCCTTATTCCTCCACTTTCTCCTGCTTGGCAATCTCCTCCACTCCCATGGTTTCGATTATCATCACCTGTAGAGAGATGACTCCCAAATGTATATCTCCAGCTCTGAAATTTGCCTGGAACTCCAGTCCTGAATTTATAACTGCCTCTTGGAGAATTCCGCCTTGACGTGTGAAACTCAGTAGGTCCAAAGCTGAACTCATCATCTTTCTCCCTAAACCTGTCCTCTTATTATTCTTCTGGTTTTCTAGACTTGAAAGCTCAGTCATCTTGGACTCATTCATCTATTTCACTCTCCATGTACAACTGGTTGCCAATCAATCCTGCTTCTGAAACAGCTCTCACATTTCAATAGTACTTTCTATTTCTATTTCCATGGGAATCACCTTAGTTCTGGGGCTTCTCACTTCTGTCCAGATGACTGTAATGTCCATCTACCTCTAATCTCTTCCTTTTCCAATCCACTTTCCCCACAGCTGCAGAATGTTCCTAATCACCGTTCCTAATTCATAGGTCTAATAATGTCACCCCACTTACCAAATCAAATGCACACTCCTGAGCTTGGCCTTCAAGTTGCTCCACGGTCTAGCTACCTCTTCAGGTTGATCTCATACTTCACACACTATGGACAAAATGGACTATTTGCTATTCCTTGATCTCACCCTGTTCTCCCAAGAAACTGATGCTCAGAGAACCTTCGTGACTTATCATGGTCACATGATTAGTAAACTTTAAGGGTGGCATTTGAACCCAGGTCTCTCCCAACTCCGACTCCAGTGTTCTTTCCACTATACCAAGTGGCATAGTGAATAAAGTGTTGTATTTGATGCCAGGAAGACATGAGTTCAAATACTGCCTCAGTATCCTTATCTATAAAATAGGGATAATAAAAGCACCTACCTCATGGGGGCTGTTGTGAGGATCAATTAAGATAATATAGTCAAAGCACTTTGCAAACTTTAAAGTTTTATATAAGTACTAGCTATTATTATTATATTGCCTTTGCTGTCTTTGATGATCAATCAATAAGCATTTATTAAGCACTTTCGTGTATCAGATAATATAACTTATCATGTTCTTTAGAGCTTTAAGATTTGTGAGGGGCCTTCTTCACAACAACCCTTTCAGGTAAGTAGTGAAAGTATAATTACCCCCATTTTCAAGATAAGAAAATTGAGGTTCTAAGAGGTTAAATGTTATTCCAGTGATCACAAAGCAAGTAAATGGCTGAGGAGGCCTTTAAATTCGGGTCTCCTGCCTCATAATGAACGGAATGGCTCTCTAAAATATGGTTTCAGGGGGCAGCTAGGTGGTGCAGTGGATGGAGCACAGGCCCTGAAGTCAGGAGGACCTGAGTTCAAATCTGGCCTCAGACCAAACACCTGACACTTACTAGCTGTGTGACCCTGGGCAAGTCACTTAACCCCAACTGCCTAAAAAAAAAAATATGGCTTCAGGAGCCTAGCGATGAACGCAAAGTGAAAGTGACAAACAAGGCTGCATCATACTGGTAGGCAAGAAGACGATCAAAGGTTTCACCGCCTGGAGTAGATAAATAGGGGAGAAAGGAAAGAAGGCAGAACTAACAAACTCTTAGGTCCTTCTGTCATCTCTAAAGGGCCCCCAAAAAGAACCTTTAGACTGGGTAATGGGAAGGGTCAACCCTGGGCCTGGTCTTGAGGCATAAGCCACATCTCCTTTATTTGTAAATCAGAGGAATACTGTGTTTATAATTTACCTAGACCTTAGTAAAATGTTTGACAAGGTCTCTCCTACTATTCTGGACAAGATGCAAAGGTGTGAGGTATATGTTAGTGCAGTTAGAACAGGAGTTTTAACTCTCTTTTTGTACCATGGACTCCTTTGGCAATTTGGTAAAGCCTATGGACTCCTTCTCAGAATAATGTGTTTCCTACAGTCATAACTGAAGGAAATAATAAATTTTAGCCAGAGGTTAGTGAAAATAAAGATGCCATTTTTTTTCCTTCCAAGTCCACAGACTCCCTAAATTCCATCCATGAGAGTGTTTGGGCCCCAAGTTAAGACCCCCTAAGTTAGATGAGTTCATAATAGCTGGTTGAATAGCTGGGTCCAGATAGTAATCATTAATGGTTTGATGGTATCCTGGAAGGAGGTCAAACTCCAGTAGAGTGGCCCAGGAATCTTCCTTGGTCCTGTGTTACTGAATATCTTTATCACCGACTCAGATAAATGCCTAAATGGCATGCTTACTAAATCTGCAGATGAGACGAAGCCAGGAGGGACAGCTGAATGAAAGTCAGAATCCAAAATACTATTAGGAGAGGCTAGAACACTGGATTCAATCTAATACAATGAAATGCAATAAGGATGGATGGAAAATTTTAAAGCCAGGTTCAAAAAATCAACTTCCCAAGCAGAACGTAGGGGACATACAGCTGAAAAGCAGTTCGCCTGACAAAGATCCGGGGGTTTCAGTGGACTTGAAGCTTGTTATCAGTCAATAATATGATACCTAGCCAAGAAAGCTAATGCAACCTCAAGCTGCATTCACAGAGGTAAGAGCTCAGAATGAGGGAAGTGACAGTCTTTCTCTTTACTCTCTCCTAGCCTGGCTGTAGCTGGAGTGTTGTGTTTAGTTCTGGGCAACACATCTTAGGAAAGATGTTGATTAGCAGAACATTGGGATGAGGGAAGCCAGAAAGGCAAAGAGCTTCAAAGTCAGGCCACAGAATCTATCAATGAAGCTTGGGGGTGTTTTAGTCTTGAAAAAACTTAACGGAGACATAACTAAAACCTCCACATATTTGGAGGACTGTCACGTGGACATGGGATTAGATTTGTTCTGACTGACCCTAGAAAACAGAAACAGCAACAGGCAGCCAAATAGATTTCAGCTCCACAAACGTCCTAACAATTGGAAATGCCCCACTGCTGACTGGCCTGCCTCTGGGTAGGGCTGGCTCCTCCTCACGGGAGTGTTTAAGTGAAAGTCAGCTGACCCCTCATCAGGGATGTGGTAGAACAGATTCCATGGGCTGCCTCAGCAGACAGGGAGCTCCCTATCGCCAGAGACTGGCTTATCACATGCCACCAATGTTGCAGAAGGCTATTCCTGTTTATGTAGGGGTTGGAACAGGTGACCTCCTAGGCCTCTTCTAGCTCTGTGAATCCCACCTTCTACAAGAAGCCTTTCCTCTGTGGATTATCTCTGATTTTTATGTCTTGTCTGTACATAGTTATTTGCATGTTGTTTCCTCCTTTAGATTGGGAGCTCCTCGTGGGCAGAGAGTTTTGCCTTTTGCTTTTGTCTTTCTTTGGATGCCCAGCCCTTAGTACAAGGCCTGACGCATAGTATGTGCTTAATAAATGAATAGTGATTATGTACACATTTAATAGATCCCCTACTAGATGGTAAGCTCCTTAAAAACAGGGACTCTGTCCTGTGTTATCTTTGGATCCCTTTTGGTAACTGAAATGGTAGATGGGAGTAAGCGCTTAATAAATGCTTGTTGAATTGAATTGTTGCTCAAATTGATGTGCTTTGTTTTGAAAGTCGTGTCCTGAAAGGAATTATTTTCCTTTTTTGGAAAAAAAAAAAAGGTGGATTAGCCTTTGGACAAACTTTGGACAAGCCAATATGAATGAAAAGAAGGACTGGATATAGAATATTTAAGCTCTGTTGATGGTGGTGTGAGGACAGACAGTCGTGCAGAGGACACATGAACTTCTGAAAGTGGCAGAAAAGGGTGAAAAAGAACAAAAACCGAGTTACCTGAGAAAGTAGGACATGTAGGTGTATGGGCAGTTAACAGCTCCAAATCCAGAGAGCAGGGCCATGAGGGTGACCCCAATCACACCCACCCGACTGATGAGTTGTTCAATGGACAAGATCCCTGAAAAAATGAAGTCACATTAGTGACACAGCAACTGATTTCCCCTTTACCGTAAATGGAAAAATTCACCTAGGATTCTTAAACCCAACACGTGACGTTTATGTAGCCCATGAAAGTCTGCAATGCATTTTAAGTTGATGAGCTGATTTGACTCTCACAATAATCCTGTAAGATAAGTAGTGCAGGCATTACTCTCCTCATTTTTCAGATAAGGAAACTGAGGCTCACTGAGTTATATAACTTGCCCAAGGTCACACAGCTGGTAAATGTCAGAAGCAGGATTCAAACTCAGGCTTCTCTGGACTCTAAGACCAGGGTTCTTTCCATTACACCACAGTCAACTCAGAATGTCTACTCTCAATTACCTATGTGTAAGGTATTTGCCATGGTTAATTTTTAATCTGTCTGGTTTCTCTGTCCAATAAGCTTTAAGGTTATTTCTTTCCACTATCAACTGGTATTCTGGGAATGCCAATTATTTTTTTAAAATCTTAGTAGAAAAAATTGTAAAAAATTATGAAGATAAATCTGTTGCAGAAAACAATCATATCCAATATTTATTCACCAAAGCCAAATAATTTTTGGACTATCTGGTGTTACAATCTCTTGCTCTCCATATGTATGCATATACACATATATATCCACATATTTACATATATATATTTTACTTGACTCTATTATGTGGTTTATCAAACATAGTTCTAATATCTTCATTTTTACTTCAGATTACTCTAGAAGACAGCCCTATTGGCTGATTCATATTCTTCAGCACACACACACATACAAATACAAATACACACGCACACACCCGGTTCTTGATTCAAGGTTTTGTCCACGATTCATTTTTGTATTTGGATAAATGGACAAAAGATAAGGAAAGGCTATTTTCAAAAGAGGAAACACAAACTGTTGTTAGTAATCAATGAAAAGTGATCAATTTCACTAATAATATAAAAGATGCAAACTCAAAGACTGAAGTACCACTCATCAAATTGGCAAAAATAATTAAAAGCAACAAAACTCAATGCTGGCAGGGTTGTAGGGAAACGGGTACATTCATTTATTATAGGAAGAATTGCATAATGGAATCTTTTTTGGACAGCAATCTTGCAGCATGCAGTAAAAGTGACAAAAATAATCATACCCTTTGACTCAATTCCATTGTTGGGAATATACCCTAAAAGTATTATCAAAAACAAAAAAAAAAAGGACTAGCTATTAAATATTTTCATTGCAGAATCATTTGTAATTGCAAAAATTGAAAGCAACCTCAACATTAAATATTAGGGGAAGGGTTAAATAAAAGAACAGCAAGTATGAGAAAATATAAAAAAATAGGGAAGGACCTTTTTGAAAAGAGAAAAACAAAACCAAACTAGAAGTATAGAATACATCTTATGACCACGTAAGAGGAAAAATGAATGGGAACTAATGGACAAAAAAATCCTAAGATGTATATGGAATAACTAAAAAGTGGTTATGATATATCATAGGTTGAAATTCCATTTGTTTCAAAGATGTTCAATCCATTAGAGAGTAGTAATGGGCTTAGGGTGCAAAATGAGACATATATTTTTGTATTCAGTCATTGAAAGAATTTGTTTTGCTTGATTATGCATATTTGCAACAAGAAATTTGCTTTTCTTTTTTTCAAGAGGTGGAGGATCGAAGGGAGAGAAAATAGGTTTCTGTTCATTGTTTTTTTTTAAAGGAGGGGAGTGCTACTGATATGTAATGTTGTGTATACTCTCAGATGAAGTATTTTTGTTTTACTTCACAAGAGACATCTCAGAAAGTAGAAGTAATCTATAAATGTTTGAAATCTAAAAACAAAACACATCTTTAAAACTTAAATGAAAAAAGGAAAAAAAAATTAAATGTGAATAATTACAAAGAAAGTTTAATTGGTTCACGTTTAATATTGTTCATGATAAATAGTTTTTATAAAATGAAGCTGACACCATAGAAGAAGCAGTGATTTCTGTGAAGTTTTTTTAATCCATGAGTAGTAATGTTTATATCTTTCTCAACACAGACTCATCCACTGAGATAATATTGTAATTTCTATGGTAACAGATAATAGTTCAGTCCTGGAATCAGCATTTTTATATCATCTAGGGGGCAAAGTGTTAACTTAGTCCTAAAACAGGAAGTCTTAACTGAGTTCAGTGCTAGGATGTAAGATGAGGAAAATGTTAGAGAAACTGCCTTTCTCTAGGGGGGAAAACAAAACCAAACTAAAAAAAGGGAAGTAGTAGCATAAAGCAAAATAACTCACCATGTTTTGGGCTGAGTATGGGAAACGGATCTCCTAATTTCCAGAAGAAGTACATGAAGGTCAACCACAGGCCACAGGAAAAAAGCAGTCGTTGTCGATGCACTGAGATAAAGGATGTGGGTTGGGGTTGGAGGGGGAAGCAGGCACAAAATACACAAAAGTTAGGAGCTTATCCTACTTCGAAACCAATGACCTTTTCCTCTCCCATCCATATAAGTTTGCTATTCAAGTAGGACAATCTACTTTTTCATGGAAGACTCCTTACCAACATTTGAAAGTATATAGGGAAAAAAGGAGAAGGGAAGTTTGGGTGAAACAAAGAATAGGATTGCACTTAGGGAGAGATAGAAATAATGTTGGAAGATGGAAGGATGTGATACAACACACTAAATTCATTTATTTCAATATTTATTGAGCACCTACTACGTGTAAGGTGCTGTACCAGGCACCCTCCCTTACTCCCCCACCCTGCAAAAACAAGGGAGGCAATGGTTCCTGAAAGTAAGGAAGAAAAACGCAGCTCTTGGATGTCCTCAGTCCCCAAACACGCTTGTCCCAATCCACACCTTTGGGGGCTCAAACACTCACAGAGTCGGATGTTGCTCACAATAAAATAACCGATGTAGAAAGGCACCATAAAAACAAGGATCAGCAGAATTACACACAGATTCAACTTCCAGTGAAAATAACGGGAACTGAAATGAAATTTGGAAAGGGTCACTGCGAGGATTACACATTCTAGTCTAATTTCTCCCCCAATTCACCGCCTCCTACCTCTGGCTTCACGATAGTCAAACTCAACAGCTGGCAGACTGCCAGGAAGCAGCTCTACCCGCTCGGCTTGGTTAACAATAATCATGTATTTTTTAACATCAGATGCTCCTAAAAACATCAATCAGTTGTTTGGGACACTATTGCTTCGGTTATATTGCCACAACTTTAAATATCAAAGGCAATCTCTGCTATGTAAGGTCAGCTGACCTTGACCTTTGTCACTGGGAGTTCTATCCCAATATATGAATGAAAAGAGAATCAATCATATATACCATAAAGATTCAGAATGTTTTTACAGTTTTAATCTCTTAATACAGCTAGACATTTGAGATGCACTTACATCACTGTCCTCATTGCTCCACAAAGGAGACTGAGATGATTTTTCCGAAAGGGAGCACTTTTTCAACGATAAAACTTTCTGTACCACAGAAAAAATGTAACACTGGACTCTCCATGAATAAGGCCAATTGGTGCACAAAACTCACCTACTATTAAGCACTCCCAAGATTTCGAAGATGATGAGCTCAAACATGGTACAGGAGAAGGCAAAGGTCACAGAAAAGATCACTTGTACAACATACTGGCGCACCTATCAGGGAAGGTAAGGGACTACTTTCAGTTTCAGCTAAAAGATGGCCAAAGGAAAGGCCTCCTCAGCCCACATGCACCAGAAGCCCTAAAGTTATGGGAATAGGATGGCATTCACATCTTACTACGAGTTTGAAAGAATAAAAGGAAATAGGCAAGAAAGTCTTGATCTGATTATTATTACTTAATTTGCATTACATTTGTAGGGCAGGTGACTTACTATGCAACTCCTTGTGGATGGAGAGCTTAAAGCACAAATCCTGAAGCTATCAGGAATTCAGGAAATATCAGAATATCAAGAAATCCCCATTTTGGACACATGCAAGCAAAGAGGATATCTAGTTAATACAGGAAGGGTCTCCTTATCTACCCTAAGACTGGGGAGACCACAGGTAAGTTCCAAGACTTTCCAAAGGAGTTTGGGTTGTTATTTGAAAGACCAAGGACTTTTTGTTCTGCTATCTCAAGGTAAGTCAATTTTTTGTATGGAGCCAGGATAGGACTCAGGTAGTATGTGGTGCATATTGCTGAAAGAAAAAAAATCAATGGAGAAAAGACCATCTCAACACGTCTAAACTTGAACCCAAGATACTAGGCCAGAACCAGACTGAAAACAAAACGAACAACACCAACCTCTACTGCAGGGACTGTGAACCTGTTTTTAAACATATTTTGATAACTTTATTACAATATTATTGTTTTCTTTTGTAGTAGTACGTATTTTGTTTCATAAATTGAAAAACATTCTGAGAAGGGGTCTAAAGGCTTCCCCAGACCACCAGAGGGGTAGATGACACATAAAATGGTTAAGAATGCCTGCCCTGGTGTACAACACTGAGTGAGGTCAGGTGGCCTGGTAATTACCCGGAAGGCCAGGTCAGTAAATGAGATGCTGTAATTACAAGGCTGCATTATGCTAAAGATTCTTTCTTGTGTCACATTTTGGTTAAGAAATATGACCATGAGATCACTTTCCTCGTCCCTGGCTTCTGAACAATTCACAACTTGTATTCCTTCTCTCTTGCCAGCAGAATTCAGTCATCTGTTGAGATCTGAGACACATGGCCTACACTGGCATTAAAGCCATATTATTTAAACTGGATGTGTAAGTAATAAAATACCACTCGTAGCCTTAACGTGAGATGTCTGTGCTAAAATTGACATTTTTATTGTTATACCCTAAAGCTGTTTCAGATTCAAATCCTGGCAGGAAAATGGATCCCTTCTTACCTCATAGTCCTTGAACAGCTGTCGCATGAAGAATAACCATCCGAAGCCAAAGAAGAGCACCTGCAGATGGGAAAAACGATCAAGGCTGGCATGAGGAGCTGCTCAAAGTGGCTGAGGCCAGATGCATGGGCTCGTAGGCAGAAGACCTTACTGGCACACTCTATGTTCAAGGATCTAATGTTTACATGGCTGAAATAATGAAACTTTTTCATGGATAGGAGGTTCACAACATCCCCTGGATTTTGCCACCTACACATAGCACATCAATGAAAACTCACAGCAAAGGGAGAGGAGGTTCAAATGGCTCTGAACTTTGGAAATTGCATTCTTCCTGGGAAGGGGTTCTTAGCCTTTTTGTCCCACAGATTCCTCTGGCAGTCTGGTGAAGCCCACGGACCCCTTCTCAGGATAAATTTTTAAATGCTTAAAATACATAAGATTACAAAGAAAACCAATTATATTGAAATGTAGTTTTTATATATGTATATGTGTACACATATACATATAGACACATATATACATATATATTTGTGCGTGTATCCATCCATCCACATATATATATATATATATTTAAAGTTCATAGACTCCAGGTTAAGAACTGTTCTAAGGCATGTATTATTATATTTTATTTTTAGGCCAAAACAGAATCATGAAGTTAGTTTTGTAATAATATGGTAATAAAGGAGTGAGTGAAACTTGCATTCACCAGAAACTTCCTGTAGATGGGAACAGAAACTTTAAAAGACTCTTAATTCAATCCAATTCAAAAAATCACTTAATAGGCACCTACTTTGTGTTAGATGCTGGGTATAGCGGACGATTTCAAACATATATGGTTCCTACCTTTATGGAACCTTGTAGGTTTGTTTGGGAGTATTATACATATACAAATAACTAATGCAAAATACTACGTTAAGAGAGAAGGCAACAAAGTCATAATGAGCAAGGGATGCATTGGGGGAAACTCAGGAAGGAGACAGCATTTGAGCTGGAAGAATGAATGAACAATTAAAAAAAGCATAGTAAGCATGTATTAAGTGTTCGCTTCGTGCTAAGTTGGGGATACAAATACAAAAGCAAACACAGTGCCTGATCTCAAGGAACTTATATTCTAAAAGGAGAAGATAACACACATGGGGGATTGGTGGCCAGGCACATTAGAAACTTATAGGGGATAGTGTGTGAAGTCATGGAGGAAAAGTCTGACACATCCTTTTCAGGGACAATGGCAGGGTTGATGGTTCCAGACCTGAAGAGAAGGGATAGGAGGGATCTATGGCATTTGGTGCCATTGTTAAAAAGATGGCTGGGACATAGGAAGTGAAAAGAAGGAAAAGAAGTTGGGCCTTAAAGGAGGGGTACAAACTCAACAGGGTTAGGAAGGCATTCTGGGTAGAGGGGAAAATGTGAGCAAAGGCCAGGTGTGTATGGGGAACTGTACAGGTAAGGCAGGAAAGGTCCTGATACTGGAGGACCTGAACACTATGGGAAGGAATTAGAACTTTATTCAATAGGGCCAGCAATTCTAAAAGTGTGGTCTGCCAACCCCTGAGCAAGAGCCTTTCAAGGAGTCTACTATGGGGCAGCTAGGTGGCGCAGTGGATAGAGCACTGGCCCTGAAGTTAGGAGGAGCTGAGTTCAAATCCGGCTTCAGACCAAACACTTGACACTTAATAGCTGCGTGACCCTGGGCAAGTCACTTAACCCCAATTGCCTAAAAGGAGAAAAAAAAAAGGAGTCTACTATGTTCACAGTTATAAATACTAAGATGCTATTTGCATAGTCAAATATTCCTCCCTTTTCCAAATACTGATCTCCGTGAAGCTGAATTTTCTTCATACATATTGACCAAAACAACATATTGCAACATATTGAATGTATAAGCAGATATGAAAATCAGGTTATCTTCTATTATGCCAGATATTAAAGGGATTTGTAAAAATATGTGAAACAATATCATTTTCTCACTTAAATTTTTGGGAAAATAATTTTTTATAAAAAACATTATTTATATCAACATATAACGGATTGTTGCTATTATAAATGAATTAATATCTAAAAGATATCAGTGATTTTTTTCATAAAATTTCATAAAATTTTTTTCATTAACATTTTATGTTTATTATACTTTATGTTTATTATACTAACATGTAATAACTTTATTTTTAAATGAATACATGCTTAAAATGTTTTAATTTCTAAAACTACATATATCAGTAGATATAACCCACATAAACAAAAACTCTTTGGGGCCTTCAATAATTTTTAAGACTACACAAGTCCTGGGACCAAAGAGTTTGACAACCACCATTGTGCGCAAGTCTCTCACAGCCCAGAACTTCATCGTTAGTTAGCCATTTATAACAGCCTGATGACCTTTGTTTGAATATCTTAGTGAGGAGGAAGCTTCCTCCTGAGGCAGTTGATTCCTCTTTTAAATCCAGTAGATTGAATTCCTAGGAAGCCTTTTCTTATAGGAAGCCCCAAATTCACTTCTTCCCAGTTCTGCCTTCTTAGGCCAAACAGAGCTGTCTAAAGACTCTTCCACATGATGGCCTTTCAAATACTTGTTATGGTTCAATATGACCAGGATCTGTGCACAAGGAAGGTGAGTCTGCCTATGTGCCACGAATGGATCAGACTGTGGAGAGAGTGAAGGCAGGAAGACCACAGGAGGCTGCTCTGGCAATAAGGTGAGCTGCCAGGGTGGTGGCGGTGGGAACAGAAAGGAGACAGAGGGGAGAGATGGTGAGGGAGAATCAATCCGATTTTGGACCTATATGAATCCAAGGAGGGAGAAGAGGGAGGAGACAAGGATAGCAGACTAGGAGAATGGTGGTGAAATGAGCTGAAATAGCAGGAGGAACAAGTTTTGGGGGAAAAGAAAAAAACTTGGCTTTGGACATGTTGAGTATGAATAGCCAGTTGGACAATATGATGAACATTTAGCTTGCAGGTAGTTAAGAGAATTAAGTCCAAGAGCTCTGCAAGGAGGTCAAGGGTGAGGAAGCTGAGTCATTTGCATGGAGCTCATAGGTAAAGTAGGAGGAATGAATAAGAAATGCCAAGGAGAGAGTATCTTGACAGAAAAAGGTTGAAGGCGGAAAAAAACCCCAAAACCTTGGGAAACATTTACCTTCAGAAGTCACAAAGAGAAAAAAAGGCTTATGAAGGAAAATGAGAACCAGCAGTTAAAGAGGTAGGAGGTAAATCAGGAGAGTGTGTACTTTGGAAACCAAGGGCCAAGGAAAATAAAGACTGAAAAAAATCAACTTTGGATTTGGCAATTAGGAGGTCACCGGGCCCCTTATTAAAAACCCTGAAATGATGTCCCTCAATAGTAATGGCTCTTAAACTTTGCTGAGACCACTTTGCTGGGGCAGAAGATCTCACAGAGCCCTGGCTTCTATTTGTCACTGTTAAAAAGAAAAACAATTCAGGGGCAGATAGCAGGTGGACTATAAGGAGGTGAAGGGGAGTCAGATCAGTGCCAGGTGTGATCTCTGTGAGAAATGAAAGAGTTAAGTTTCCACATAAATAGATAAGAAATCAGCGCAGACAGGCCAACTTCTTCGTCCAAGGGGGGAGTGATAACACAATTCTAGGCACATAGTGTATGTTAGGGGTGGGGCCTATAAGAAAGATTGTAACCCAGAAGGATTAGGACCAATCCTGATCCAGAAGGGAGGAGTTAGGCAATTACTAACTATAAAGATTGCTCTGGCTTCTTTTACTGGGCACGTTTTCTGTGCGCCCGGGTTTCTTGAGAATCGAAATGGCGCACTTCAACCTTTGAGACACCAGTCTTCGGAACCGAGTCTGGGGTCATCTTTATAACAATTTGGGGGATCGGCCCGGGATCCAAGAGACCACCGAGAAAGGCGAAATCTAAGTGGGCTGGGAAGAGCGTGCCCCTTGATTTTAACGGTCCCAGTACTTCGATTTCGCTTTCCTTGCGCCTCGTGAAATCCCGTAGACCGCAGCTATTGCTGCAGAGACAGGTTGAACAGCGGCAAAAAAAAAAAAGGAAAACGGCTGAGGATCACTCAAGTTGATATATATCCAACAAAAGTAGGAAGAAATCAGTGGCAAAATTCAGGCTTTGTTGATCTGGGAATCCCTTATCTCTGGGAGGCATTTTGTCTGGATTAACTAAGCCTTGGTTAATAGACTCGACTTGGAGATGGGAGGGAAGAATTCAAAGGAAAAGGCGCCAGGGAAGGGACTCGAGGAACCCCTTCCAGAGATACCCCAAAGTAGCCCGCTGGGGAGAACGCTAGCTAGCAAATTGAGGTAGTGGGATTACTCAGGAAAAACTTTTCCTACTGAAGGAACCCATTCAAAGGGGCCCTTGGGACAAAAAGTTTTTTTGACCGGTCAAGTTTAGGATTGGAGTTGCGCGCACATGCTATCTGTCTGTGGATGTTTTGTGTATGCCAGAGAAATTTTTGGGTAACTTCTGAGGTCTGAGATTGGAGAAGGAACAGTGGGAAAGAGCTCCCTCTCAGGCTTTCAGAGGGAGATTGAGATTAGGGTCAAAAAGGCAGGAAGAATCTCTCAGAAGTTAGTGGAAGGTGCAGCTGGCGGCCTTTGCTGATAAGGATTTGGAGCATGCCGTCCAAGATGGCTAGGGCTGAGAGAAAAAGAAAAGAAAAAAAAGGGGGTGGGGCTGACAAGAATTTGAATTCAGGTTTAATAGAATCCCAAGACTAAGAATTTGAGTTATTGTCTTTGTGTCCCTCCCACCAATATATTCGGTCTGGGGCAATGTGTTTAGAGCTGAAAAAAAAAAATAAGGGTTTTTCTTTCTTTTAATGTGATAAGATTTCAGTGAAGTGTTTAGAATGCATAGTAAAGTTGTAAAAGCAGTTTGGGATGAGAGAGATGGGGAGAGGGGGAGTCCTATTCAATTCTTATCTCCCTTCAGATTTGCAAAAGAAAGCTGCCTAATCTTGGTGAGTGTAATTTGGGTGGGGGTCTTAAAATCCCCACCCTTGGGTAGGGATATCCTCTGGATAGCTTTAGATAGTTTAGGTTGAGAAGGTGTGAGGAAGTGGTCT